AAGTATTGTTGTTTGTTATTTAAGGCTTAAGTCTGGGTAGTACTTGATAGACTTAAATTTTGCCCTCTTTAACATCCTAAGTTGTATTCCATCTGGTCATTGCTGCAATTAGCTGAAACTTCTAAGCTGAGAGTGGAGTTGTAATGGAACAGGATACATTGACAGTTGACCTAGGGTAGCTGAATTGATAGTGCTGTAATATATAGCACTTTGGTCACATTCTTTGTTAAGTTTAATTAGTTCTAGAGTATTATATACTTATTAATTCCAATATACACAGTTATTATTCATGATTTAATATCTCTCAAATTGTAATATGTCATATGATTGATGGTATCTTAGAGTTGCTGTGGCTAGGTGGCAGTCCTGACACAGTTTTTATTACTGGCACATGCACAAAATAGTGATGGCAATTCATAGTTTCATCAGTTCTGTGAGGTATGTGCATAGATGGTACTATATATGGGGAATTTAAATGTGGTGCAAAATATCTTCAGAAAAGATATGGTGCAATTTATCATTGAAACAGTTATTATGGAGGAACAAAGAGAGAGGACTCACACTACCTGATTTCAAGACTTAATATCAAGCTGCAGTAATCCACACATTGTACTAATGATGTAAAGATAGTTAGATGAATGAAAATAATGGAGACTGCGTAAATGGGCCTGTACTATTTTCGACAGAAACGTCAATGCATTTCAGTTGAGAAATGAATGCCAATAAATGGTACTGGAACAATTGGATAAATATATGGGTGGAGAGGAATGATTCTCAGCCATTACCTAACACCATACACAAACATTTTTTGAGGTAGATTATACACACAAACTTAAAAGCTAAAACTGTAAGGCTTCTAGAATAAAGCATAATAGAATGTTTTTGTGACTTTGAAATAGACAGTGTTTTTTTTTGTTTAAGAGTGAACCATAAAAAAAAAAAAGAAATTTTAAAACTTCTGTTCATCAAAAGACACCATTAAGAAAATAAAAAGGCCAGCCACATGCTGGGAGAAAATCTTTTCATTGCACATTTCTAACAAAAGGTTTGTATCTAGAATCCTGTGTGTCAGTATTTTTAAAAATCCAATTAAAAATAAGCAAGAGATAATGATACTCCACAAAAGAAGGTATACAAATGGTCAATCAGCACATGAAAAAAAATTCTCAGTATCATCAGTTGTTGAGGAAGTAAAAATTAAAATGATGTTGGGATACTATTTCACATACCCGTTAGAAAGACTAAAATTCAAAAGACTAGAAGTCTCATACATTTTTAGTGGAAGTATAAAATGGTTCAACTGCTTTGGAAAACTTCCTGGCAGTTTCTTATAAAGTTACACATAACCCCATGAGTCACTCAAACGTATTTACATAAGAGAAATGAAAGCATGTGTTCACAAAAACACTTATACAGGAATATTTATGTTAGCTTTACTTGTAATAACCCAGACCTTGAAACTACCCTGCTATATACTGAACATTTGTGTCCCACAAAATTTGTATGTTGAAACTTAGTCACTAATGCCAGGGTATTTGGGAAGTAATTAGGTCATGAGGGCTCTGTCCTCACAAATAGGATAAGCACCCTCATGAAAGTGGTCCCAGAGAGCTTCCTTGCTCCTTCTGTGATATGAGGACACAGCAATAATACAGTTTACAAACCAGGAAGTGGGACCTCACTAGACACTAGACTTGCCAATATCTTTATCTTGACTTCCTAGCCTCCAGAACAGTGATGAATTCCTGTTGTTTACAAGCCACCCCAGTCTATTTCTATTATTGTATCCTGAATGTACTAAGACACACCCAAATATCCACTAGCAGGAGAATGGTATTTTCTTACAATAGAATTCTACTTAGCAATAAAAAAGAATGAACTACTGATACATCCCACAGCAGGTATGATTATCAGAAACATTACATTGAATGAAAGAAGCCAGGTACAAAATAATACGTCTGGTATGTGAGTGTGTGTATATAAATTCCCAAAACAGAAAAAACGAATGGAAAGCAGAAGAGTGGTTGCCTGTTGGGAAGGGGAATGGCATTTGACTGAAAGGTATATAAGGAAACTTTCTGGTTGATGCAGATGTTCTTTATCTTGATCAAGTTGAAATAGTGCTTATACTTAGTGTACGTTTATCAAAACTCATCTATATGCGCATTTCACTGTATGTAAATTTTATGTCAATAAAAATGTTATATATTAAAAAATACACTGAAATGAAGCAGTGGAGTGTAGATTTGATACTTGAATTCTTCCACATTAGAGGAATGACATTCCCATTCTTTCTTTTTTTTTTTTTTTCTCCGAAGGCAGTCTCACTCTATCACCCAGGCTGGAGGGCAGTGGTGTGATCTCAGCTTGCTGCAGCCTCCGCCTCCCGGGGTCAAGATTCTCCTACCTCGGCCTCCAGAGTATCTGGGATTACAGGCGCATGCCACCACACCTAGCCAATTTTTGTATATTTAGTAGAGACGGGGCTTCACCATGTTGGCCAGACTGGTCTCAAACCCCTGACTTCAAATGATCCACCCACCTTGGCCCCCCCATAGTGTTGGGATTACAGGCGTGAGCCACTGCACCTGGTCCTAATCCCATATTTTTTTTTGCAAAGCAATAACCATGTGCTTTATGGAACCTAAAAATGGAAGATAGCAATAGTAGATGAACCTATTTTGCCTGAGATACATGTGAAACAATTACCTGTTACACACATCCAGCAGTGCAGCCCAAGCCAGAAGAACTAACCAGTTTTCTGGAGGGATGACTGTGATTTATATAGAATATCATAGTTTAATTGGCAGTATTTTTTTCCTTTCATAGTGGTACAATATAATGGTGTAGCTCACAATCATTGATGTCTTAGATTTGATGAACTGCAGTAGGGTGAACAGGTAAAATTATATTGACTCTGTGGAATACGAATCTTTTTTGTAGACTTAACTTTAGGGAAGAGGTCATAAGATCTATCTTTATGTTATCAAATGAGATCTTTGCTGAAAAGCGTTTTGAAATAAAGCTTTTTTAAATTGCTTATAGAGATGACTGCAATTCTAAGAAAATACGTAGATAGAAGTTAACATGCTACAGTATCTAAAAATTCTAGGATGGTGGTTAATTGTAAAAACATGTTAATGTTTCTGAACTTTTATAAAACGTATCAACCAGTGTGTAGACATGTAGATGCTGTGTAACTCTTATTTCTTAGGCATCAGAAGTTGAAACAGGTGTATAATAGACTTTTTATTAGTTTGGTATTGTAATAGATCACCCATTTGTATGTATTTTGTATTCTAGTCATATGATTAAAGTTTATAAGGAATTTTTTACAAGTAAATTTAAACTTTAACACCATGTTAAAATTTCAGAAGCCAGAAAAGAGAGATGCAGTCTTATATTTAACAACTTAAACATTTCAAATCCCATGTAGTTACAGATTGAGATAAAACAAAGCATTTCTCTTGGCAGTAGAATCCCTTTGTTCTGTGTTTGTGGAACATAAGTTCAAGAGGGCAGGGACTGTGTTTTGTACTACTATATATTATAAAACTTACAGCACAATATGTTGCACATATTATTAACTTAAAACATTTTTGTTGTGGCTTTTTATTAGAACACAATTTCAAACAATGCACACATATTAAGTTTTCTAAATAATGTGTTTCATTATTCAAAGTATTAGTAGTGCCTGGCATTTTCTAAGTGAGCTTGATTAATAAATAAACCAAATGCCACAGGAAGCAAATGATTATCTGGGGGAAATTTTTAAATGATATAGAAATCTTAACTTTTTAGCCAAATGTAAAATGGATGTGAGATCAGCTTAGAAACAAAAGTTCAGTATCATCATTATCACCATGAACTAAAAACTTTCTAGACAATAAAATTAATATTACCTTCTAATGAATCCAATATGTGGAATTGAAGTTTTTCAGAGAACTCTAATTAGCACAAGTTCTCCTGTGCTTTTTGGTCCTTTCACCCTTTCATCTCTTAAACGTTAGAAGCAGAATGATACTTTCAATATATTGATTGTATTCTCTCCATTTTATTGGAGAGACTAGATCATAGCTAATAAAATATGCTGTTGGACTGTTAGGATTATGTATATATTTAGAAAATAAGACTTCTAAAATACTTTGTGAACACTAGCCAATTTTATATGTGGTGATAGCTATCCAGATTGCTAAGTTATTTTTAAAAAAGAATATCTGTCTTGAGAATGGATCCACATAAATAAGTTGATAGATGCCACTAGTTGATAATAATAGCAGATTATCAGCATACACTGATTTAATTTTCTTTTTTTTTTTTTTTTGAGACAGAGTCTCGCTCTGTCTCCCAGGCTGGAGTGCAGTGGCCGGATCTCAGCTCACTGCAAGCTCTGCCTCCCAGGTTTACGCCATTCTCCTGCCTCAGCCTCCCGGGTAGCTAGGACTACAGGCGCCCGCCACCTCACCCAGCCTAATTTTCATACTTTAAAATTTTCAAGGCTACTCTGAAGTTTGATGGTATTTTTGTAATTTTGCTGAAGCATAAAATTAAAAAAAAAAAAAAGTGTTTTGTTAAGCTCCTGGATAGGCTAAGTCACAGAGTAAAGAAGCCTGCTAGCCACAACAACTTTTTCATTTCAAATTGCTTTTTGATTTCTAATAAATTTCCTCTTTATCATGAAGTTTCCCTCTAATAGAATTTGAGAAATTAAGGATTAGTGTGGAGAATGCTAAGTGCTAGTTGAATGAATACAAATTGTGTGTTGTTACACACACACAGTCCCCAACTTAGGGTCTGAGTGAGCTTGAGTTCTGTTTGGTGTACAGAGGAAAGACCTATACTCTCCATGATCTGTACTTGCAGAGCAGATTTATTGAACAACAAGCATCTTTAGTTTAAAACGAATTAATGTTTAAAAAATTATTTCAAGTTATAGTTTATTTTCCCATTTTCATCACATGGAATACATTTGGCTTTTTCTCATCTCTGTTTTTTCAAAGATTTGTCCCATCAGATGAAAAGAAGAAACAAGGTTGTCAACGAGAAAATGAAACTCTAATACAAAGAAGAAAAGACCAGATGCAACCAGGGGGCACTGCAATTAGTGTCACAGTACCTTATAGAGTAGTAGACCAGCCCCTTAAACTTATGCCTCAAGACTGGTAAGATAGTCTATATATATGTATATATATATTTCTTTTCACAGGTGTTGAATCCAAGAGAATGAGTGTTATTATTGCTGTTGATGATGTTGCTTTTTAAGAGATGGAGTCTCACTATGTTGCCCAGGCAGAACTTGAACTCCTGGACTCTATCAGTCCTCCTGCCTCAGGCTCCCAAGTAGCTAGGACTACAGGTGCATGCCACTGCACCTGCCAGCCTATATTTTTTAAATACTCGTTTGTTTTCTGTGTATTGTTGGTTGTTTTTTCTTGTGTGAGCAACTATCAAATTTTATCATGGGTTCTAAATAGGAACTGTCTTTGAAAAGTATGCTAATGTATATTTAGTTTGGTCATCAATAATGTTAACATTCTAATAATTCCTCAATAACTTTATATTTTGGATAGGTAAACTTGATTTTACTTTTAAGAAGAAACATTCCAACTTCTGGAAAACCCAGTGTAAAAAATTCTTTCCACTTGTTCATTTGTTCTGGATGAGCTTGTAGAACCCAGCAAATTAGACTAATGTTGTAAGGTATTCTATGTTCAGATTTTTGGTTTGGAGAATTTCAATTATCTGGTAAGAAAAAGTGAAGGCATACTTTTATTGTAAGGGAATAATCTAATAAAAATGATAGGAACAGCTCTTTTATCATGGTTTAACCCTTTTATTGCATTAAAATGTTCTTTAACAAAATATTAAGCTGTTTATAATATAAAGTACCTATAAATTTAGACACACAGATTACCTTATTTCTTTAATCTGAAGTAAAAGTTGAGTATTATCTGTGATACAGAGAATGCAACACATGGCACATTAGATAAATTTACCTTTGAAGTACTTGTTAGTTTTCGGGCATTAAGAAGTCAAGGCATTGTGAATATTAATATTAAAAATTTTCTTAAGAAAATTGCAACCAGGGGGCACTACAATTAATTGGTGTCACAGTATCTTATAGAGTAGTAGACCAGCCCCTTAAACTTATGCCTCAAGACTGGTAGGATAATTCTCTCTCTCTCTCTCTCTCTCTCTCTCTATATATATATATATATATACACACACACACACAAAATACATATTTATATATAATATATATTATATGTAATATATATAGAGAGAATTATATATATAAATTATATATATATAATTTTTAAATTATAATTCTTCTCTGGTACCTGATAGATACTTCGAGTAATGTAGAAAGTAAGATTAGAATTTCAGATACCAAGCTTAAAACCAAATAGGAAAGTTATACCACTTGTATTTTATGTTTGCAATGTATTTGCAGAAATAATACAGTGTATACAAATGTCATCACTATGCTGTAAAATACTGCTTGTGTGTATTAGTTAGGATCTCCAGCCATTGAAGTCTCCAGCATTTTCCTTACTTCCTTATTTTCCTTTTCCTTTAATTATCCTTCCAAGAATTCAAGGGGAGTAACATTTTTATTACCCTGCTTCTCTGCTGATCCTGTAAGACCCAGTGGAATATAAGTGATCTCTGCCCATCAAATTCCCTTTGCTTTGGCAGGCATCTTGGGCTTTCAGCTGTTATAAGTTACATCATGAAATTGAAGGATTATTTAATAGTGTGCTGCATTGCCAAAGATGATTTTGACAGTTTGAGGCATGTATCCTGTGAAAGGGAAAATTTTTTAACTTAAGACTTAATTTTAGCCTCAGAGATTTTGAGCAGCTTAAGAATTTTAAGCTTGCAGTTTTTAATAGTTGTTGCAGGTCTTCTGCTTGAATAGAAGGTAACTCTGGTGTAATGTTTTTTTGTATGTCTGCAGTCTTCATTAATTGCAGTGGTTATCAAAGTGTGGTTTGCAGACCTCAGGTCATTCCTAAGACTCTTTCACAGAGTTGCAAGATCAAAACTGTTTTCATAATACTGAGATGGCTGTTCTCATGATTTATCTGCCCTTAAATAGGAACAGTAGCATACCCAGTGCCCCAGCATAGTAATTTATTCTCCTCCTTCCCTTCTTCCCTTCTTCCTTTTCTCTGTACTTCTACCTTCCTTTGTCTTCTCCAGTATGCCCATGCACCTGTTTCTTCATTTATACACTGAGGTTTCTAATAGTGTCCAGGGAGATCATTGGATTGTTTTGAAGATTAAATGTGTTAACATCATAAGTAATGCATAAAGTCCTTCAAATGGCACTTGACACCTAGTAAATGCTCAGTAAATATTACTAATTTCAACCATTATTGTTGATGTTGTTGTTTCGTTCCCACCTCTTTAGATATTGGCTTTACCTGTTTATGGCAGTACTACTTATAATTTCTCAATTCAATTAAATATTTTGTAAAATAATGAAATTTGAGGGTCTATAGAGAAGTTTGTTCTTTCTAGGAAAACTAGGTTGATTGGTTGGGAAAAAAATTGCTTTAAAAAATACTTATACATTAGGGTGAATGAAACAGTTGTAAAACAATTGCAAAAATTATAGAAGTCTAAATGGTTTCTATACTCAGATTACTTCCCAAGTAATCACAAGAACTCAGATAAGGCCCTGGGACCTTGTAAAATGGTTGATGAATTCCTGTAATGTAATGTTTTTAGTTAAAGTAAAATATTTAAGATGTGTTTGAATTTTAAATGATGTTTTAAACAACTTTTTTGATTACTAGTTATCAACCACTATTCCCTATTGCAGGGAACAGAAAATGAAAACAAAATTACATACAAGTATTGTCCATTTAATTATGTTTAAAAGACTTAGGTGTAAAAACCAGATATATGGGAAGTATAACAATCATGATATTGAAAAGGTGGTAAGTACTTACCTTCATAGAAGGATTGATAAGACTTTACCACATAAATGTTTATGGGTCTGTTGCCTAAGAGATTTATTAGTAGCTAAAGCTCAAGTTTGAAATAATCTCCGTCTGTCCCCTACCTCCCCCCATCCACTTTTCTACTTGTAGGGACCGCGTTGTAGCCGTTTTTGTGCAGGGTCCTGCATGGCAGTTCAAAGGTTGGCCATGGCTTTTGCCTGATGGATCACCAGTTGATATATTTGCTAAAAGTAAGATTCTCTTTGTATTTACTGCTTATCCAATATAGAAATGTTCTCACTTTAAGAGAAAGAATCATATAGTTCTGCGCATATGATGTGTATGTCAAAAGATTGCTGTTAAGTAACATATGTTAATGTTTAAGCATCTGTGACATATTTTTAAAAGTTTTGTACATTAATACTTTCTGTGTAGGTGTATCTGAAAGTGAATATTGCCTATCGCACAACATCACTAATTATTTTTAGATCACTTAAAAATCATTGGCCAGGCACAGTCGCTCACGCCTGTAATCCCAGCACTTTGGGAGGCTGAGGCAGGCAGATCACCTTAGGTCGGGAGGTCGAGATCAGCCTAACCAACATGGCAAAACTGTGTCACTACTAAAAATACAAAATTAGCTGTGCGTGGTGGTGCACACCTGTAATCCCAGCTACTCAGGAGGCTTGAGGCAGGAGAATCGCTTGAACCCAGGAGCCAGAGGTTGCAGTGAGCTGTGATCACACCACTGCACTTCAGCCTGAGCAACAAGAGCGAAACTCCGTCTCAAAAAAAAAAAAAAAATCATTACTGTTGCATGTCCATACATTTTGATTACAATTGATGCCAGTTTTAAATGGGTTGGCTTTTGATGAACAGAAATGTGTAGCCATGACTAAAGTGCCATAATGACATTTACCAGCTCTTCTTTTCATCTGTAATGATTGTAAGATGATTGACTTTTTCTCTTCATTCAGATCTCAGCTCAAGTGTTCTCTCTTTAGAGAATCTGTCTCTGACTTTCCTGTTTCAAATAGCCATCACATCACCACTTCCCAGTTGCTCTTTAAGCTTTTTTATTTTCTTGATAGCACTTACCATTCCTAGACATTTTCTAATTGTTATACCTTTATTCTAAGTGTTCCCTAGCCAGAATGCAAGTTTTGATGGGGAGTCCTTCTCTGCCTTATTTACCTTCGAGTCCTCAGCACAGAAGAGTGCCTGGCATAGAGAAGCTTTCAATAAATATCTGCTGAATGAATTATTTCATGCATATTTAATATTTATTAAACATATTAGCATAGATTGATATAACAAAAGATTAATTTCACCTGTTTATTTGCTGGAAGGGGATATTCCAACAATTAATTAATTGGAGTGTTCAATTAGTAATGTAAGTAAAATTACTTTTAAAAAGTCATTTTCATGAAACAAGTATGTTTATTAGAAATGACAACTTTATTATGAATGTTGATTGTACTATTCTGGAATGTCTTGTTTTTAGCAGCCCCAGTTTTTGTTAGTGGTACCATCATTTTTCCTTAGAAAGTACCCAAGCTTGAAAGTTTTAGTCATTTGTTCTTCTGTTACCTTCATTCATTTAAAAAAAAGAATTCTAATATTACTGGAGGAGATTAGTCAGGGTGGTGGGAGAAATTATAGAAAAAAGATGCAAACCTTCTTGGAAGGCTGGGAGGTTTTGCAAAAGCTTTGAAAGATAATTTGGCTGAAGTCAGCCAGATTCTCTTATCTGGAGCCTAATAGCAAAGGTTAGATAACCTGGGGATATCAAGAAATTCGTCAAGATAAGTTAGTTTACTTAGGCCTTTAATCAGCCGTGGGAGTTGGGGGTGGGGGGTGGGGGTGGCAATGGGGCAGGGGTTGGAGGTGGGGGGAGGGTGGCAAGGCAGTGGCGACCATATTAATTACCCTTGAGTGTGTTGGCTCAAAGCCTTTGTCATTAAATCTGTAATAAAAAAATGCCAGCGTGTGTGGGCTGCGGCCGTTGTGACTCTATGGTATCCTCCTCGATGTCTGTGAGTGGCCCAGTCCCCTAGCCGCACGTCCAGGGAAAAACCTGTGTCTGCATACATTTTTCTTCTGTCGTTCGGCCAGGGTCTGCAGGTTGGGCCTGGCAGCTGACGTTATGATAGATTTTTATGTTATTTCTGAAACTTGAATAATGCACAGAGTTGGTAAATAGAAAGTTAAATAAAAAGAGAATGGGAATTTTAATGAAAGTAAAATGTCAATGTGAATTCTCTTTTACCTACTTGCTTGCCTTGTTGAATAATATTTCAACAAAAAATGATTAGAATGTCTTCAAGATATAAATGTATGAAATTCATTAGGAATATAAAGTTTTTATTTTTGTTCAAATTGTTAGTCTTCTGAAATTTAGATAAGAATTTAGAGAATTTTATTTTAACAGTCATCAGTGATTTACTTTCATAAACTATTCTTTCTCTTCCACCTATTCCTTCTACACTGACTCCTTTCTCTCAGCGTTTAAGAATACTCTTTCCCCTTCCATCTTAAACAACAAAACAAAACCCTTACATTGACCTCCCCCTTTCCCCTAGCTGCTTCTTTTTCCTTTTATAGCTACACTTGGGAAAGAATTGTCTCTACCCATTCATTTTCTGTTCAAATTCCCTGTAGTCCGGCTCTTGCTCTGTACTAAAACTGTTTTCACTGAAGTCACCAGTGACTCAAATACTGGATACTTTTAAATTATGAGAATTTGATTCTGTTGACTACTCCTTTTTAAGTTACTTTCCAAGTACCTGTTATACTTTGTCTCAGATTTCCTTGCTACTTTTCCTCTGGTTATCAACTGCAGTGGACCCTTCAACATCGTGCAGTTGAAAACTCCCATATAACTTTTGACTCCTCCCAAACATACGTACTAAGAGCCTACTACTGTTGACTGGTTACCTTAACTGGTAACATAAACAGTCGATTAACAAATACTTTTCATGTTAGCATTGTATATTGCATTATTAAGATAAAGTAAGCTCTAGACAAAAAGAAAATGTTAAGAAAATCATAAGAAAGAGAAAATACATTTACTGTTCTTTAAGTGGAAGTCGGTTACCATAAAGGTCTTCATCTTCATTGTCTTCACATTGAGTAGGCTGAGGAGGAGGAAGGGTTAGTCTTGCTGTCCCAGGTGGCAGAGGCAGTAGAAAATCCATGTATAAATGGACCCACTCAGTTGGAACTTCTATTGTTCAAGGATCAAATGTATATGGTTATGTCCCTATTTCTCATCTCCTGTGACTCTAAATACCCTGTCAAGAAGATCTCATAGCTTTCAGTTATCACTTATATTCCCTTATTCTAAAAATTATTGTCTCTAGCTTGATATTCTGGACCTATATACCTCATTCACTATGAGATAACTTCTCCGTGATATCTCATTGGTACGTCAAACTCAAGCTTTTTCAAATGGAATTGGATTGTTTTACTCTTTTCCTTATTCCTCAAACTATTTGTTATTATCTGTTAGTCCTTTTCAGTAATTTGTCTAAGCCAGAAACTTGTGAGTATATTATCTCTTAGCTTTTAGTTGGTCTTTTTGCTTTCACTCTTCTGGCTTCCAGTCGTTTTCTCCATCAGAATACACTGTACAGCATTGGGGGAAAACTGAGAGCATTTGGGAGTATTTCTATAGGCCTTGATAGAAAATTGTATTGTATTTTGTTGATGTTGCATAATTACATGGAATACATCATTTGAGAGAAAATATTAAATACTGATTTGCATAAAATTGCAAAATAAAATCTTTACAAATTTAAAATGAGAAATTTAAGCTGATATCTGGATATATTTTAGATATGTTATATTTGAGGTGGCTATATTTATTGACATTTAAAATTTTTTTATTGATACATAATATTTGTATATATTTTGTTACATGGATGGAATGTGTAATGATCAAGTCAGTTTTTAGGGTATGTATAACCTTGAGTATTTATTATTTCTGTGTTTTGGGAACATTTCAAGTCATCTATTCTAGCTGTTTAGAAATATATAATACATTATTGTTAAGTATATTCTCCTACTCTGCTTTTGAACATTAGAATTTATTCCTTTGTGCAGCTGTTCACCATGGCCTATGTTTAACTATGTAACAGTCCTGCACATGTACCCCTGAACTTAAAAGTTGGAAATTAAAAAAAGAATTTATTTCTTCTACCTGTATGTTCGTACACATTAATCAACTGCTTTTCATCCCTCTACTTCCCTCCCACCACACACATACACACACCCTTCCAACCCTCTAGTATCTTATCATTTTACTCTCTACCTCCATGAGATCAACTTTTAAAGTTTCCACATATAAGTGAGAACATGGGATAATTTGTCTTTCTGTGCCTGATTTCTTTCACTTAATATAATGACCTTCCCCTTCTATCCATGTCGCATTGCCACAGATGACAGGATTTCATTCTTTTTTATGGGCAAACAGTATTTCAGTGTGTATATATACTACATTTTCTTTATTCATCTGTTGATGGATTTAGGTTGATTCCAAATCTTGACTATTGTGAATAGTGCTACAGTAAACAAAGGGTGTAAGTATCCCTTTGATAAACTGATTTTCTTTCCTTTTGATAAATACCCAGTAGTAGGATTGCTGGATCATCCAGTAGTTCTGTTTTTAGTTTTGAGAAATCTGCATACTGGTTGCCATAGTGGCTCTACTAACTTATATTTCCACCAACAGTGTAGGAGTTCGCTTTTCTCTGCATACTTGCCAGCATCTGTTATTTTGTCTTTTTGGTAATAACCCTTGTAATTGGGGTAAGGTAATATTTCATTGTGGTTTTGATCTGCACTTCCCTGATGGTTCGTGATGTTGAACATTTTTTCATATATTTGTTGGCCATTTATTTGTATGTTATCTTTTGAGAAATGTCTGTTCATGTCCTTTGCCCACTTTTTAATGGGATTTTTTTTTTAATTGTTGAGTTTCTTGCATATTAGTCCCTTGTTGGATCAATAGTTTGCAGATATTTTCTCCCATTCAACAGGTTGTTCTTCACACTGTTTATTGTTTCCATTGCTGTACAGAAACTTTTTTCTTTAATATAATCCCATCTATTTTTGTTGCTTGTGCTTTTGAGGTCTTAGCCATAAAGTCCTTGCCTTGACCAGTGTCCTGAAGCAGTGCTCCAGTGTTTTTCTGTGTTCTATTATATCCCACTCAGTTTCTGTGATATCATTATTTTGAATTCTTTTCTGT